CTGAGGTGGGAGGATCACTGGAGAACAAGAAGTCGAGGCTGCAGTGCGCTATGATCACACTACTGCACTCCAGCCTGGGTGACAGAGTGAGACCCTGTCTCAAAAAAAAAGGACTAAGATAATATCCATCTACAAGTTCAGGAAAGTAGTAAGGAAGCCTGTAGTCTATCAGGGCCTTGGGAAATGGGGAGGAGGGGAGGAAGCACCAATCAGGTGAAACTGAAACACAAGGGCAGCATTCATGTGTTCAGGAAATCTACACCAATAAATTAGCACAAAGTACCAATCAGAGACCACTGAAACCCTAAAAGCTTCACAGAAACAAATGCAGAACACCTCCACAGAAACATTGTCATAACCTAAGAACTCCTACAAGAAAAAAAGCCCCACCGAAGATAAGCTCATAAAAATCACAAAAATCGAAACCACACAAGGAAATAATTTCCTACAAGGGGAGAGCCGACAGACACTACTTAGGATCCTAAGTAATGAAGATAGTAGAAAACTCTAAGGGAATAAGTTCAAAATTATTAAAAGGAGAAAGGCAAAAATCGTAATGAAAGAACAAATGTTATAAGAAAGAGAACAGGAGAGTTTTTTTTGTGTTGTTGTTTTGTTTTTGAGACAGAGGTGTTTGGCTCTTTTTACCCAGGCTGGAATGCAATAGTGTGATCTCGGCTCACTGCAACCTCCACCTCCTGGGTTCAAGCAATTCTGCTTCAGCCTCCCGAGTAGCTGGGATTACAGGTGCCTGCCACCACGTCTGCTAATTTTTGGATTTTTAGTAGAGATGGGGTTTCACCACGTTGGCCAGGTCGGTCTTGAACTCCTGACCTCAGGTGATCCACCCAACTCGGCCTCCCAAAGTGCTGGGATTACAGGCATGAGCCACTGCACCCGGCCGAGAACAGGAGCTTTTACCGAAAAATACAGTTATCAAAATAGGTTTCATGGTAGATGAAGCACAACCGAAGATATTTAGTGATCTAGAAGACTAATTTGAAGAAGTCACCCAGAATTCAGCCCAAAATAGTAAGGGTAAAGAGCTGTGGAGGAAAGAATAAGAAAGTCTAACATATACTGACTAGGAATTTTAGATTAAAAGAATAGGGAGAATGGGGAAGAGGCAATATATGGATAGCAGTCCTTACAAAGTCCTTGGATTGAAAAAGAACACTAACTTCTGAGTAGAAAAAAATTACATATTACATATTTACATATATTTACATATGTATACTTTACACATACATATATACAAAAATACACACACATATTTACATGTATATGTAAATATACATATTTACATATATGTAAAGTCACACATATATGCATATATGTAAATATATGGGCATATTACATATACATGTATATATACACACACACCTAGACACATCACAATGAAATTTCAGAGCGTCAAAGACGCTCTAACAAGCATCGGAGAGAAAGGACAAATCTATTAAGGAATGACAATAAAACTGATAGCAGATTTCTTTTTCGTAATAGTAGATGGTAAAAAACAATGGGATAGCCTTAAAGTGCTGAGAAAAAATATCCATCTATTTAGAATTCTACGCCCAAATTTATCTTAAATTCTCATTCAAGATAGGCAAAATAAAGACATTTAACAATAAACAGGCCAGGCATAGTGGCTCACACCTGTAATCCCAGCACTTTGAGAGGCTGAGGCAGGCGGATCACCTGAGGTTAGGAGTTCAAAATCAGCCCGGCCAACATGGCGAAACCCCATCTCTACTAAAAATACAAAAATTAGCTGGGCATGGTGGCTCACACCTATAATCCCAGCTACTCAGGAGGCTGAGGCACTAGAATCACTTGAACCTGGGAGACGGAGGTTGCAGTAAGCTGAGATCATGTCACTGCACTCCAGCCTGGGTGAGAGAGAAAGACTCGGTCTCAGAAAAAGAAAAGAAAAATAAATAAATAAAATAAAAATAAAAATAAACAAATACTCAGAGAGTTTACTATTTACATGGCCTCACTGAACTAAAGGGCATCTCAGTAAGAAGGAAAGCGAACCTAGAAGGAAGACTGAGATACAAGAAGTAACAGTGAGTGAAGACATTTTCAAACATGTTGGCAAAAGGAAACGAATATTGACTATTCAGTATTCAAGACTTACTTCGGAGGGTTTAATTTCAGGGTTTAAAAAAAGAATGTGGAAGAGAAATATTAGGAAACAGTAACATGAAAGGCACAAACGGAGAAGTCAAAGTTAAAACATTCTAAATGGATTCTTTTGCTTAAAGTGATAGTAGCAAAACCAACTAACTTTAGATTGGTGGGTTTTATGTTAAAAGTTAAGGGTGGCCACTAAAAGAACAGAGATAGAATGTCTAACTTCCAAACTTGTAAAGAAGTCAGAGAAATAAAACTTGATCAGTCCAATAAGGAAAGAAAGGAGAAAAAAGGAACAGAGAAAAATCATGGCAAATAGAAAATATTAATTAAGGTGATTAAATATCAAAATGGGTTAAACGATACTGTTCAAACACAGAAACTTCCAGATTAAATTTAAGAACCAAGCCGACTACGTGCTTTTTAAATGAGACCTATTTAGTGACTTTTGTCATGGTGAACTAACCAGACTAGTAACTCCTATTGTAAGTAACTAGAAAAATGGATAAAATGTAAGAACGAACTTGTTTTCAGACAATGGACAACAGGGAGACACACACTGGATACAAGATTTGAGCAGACACACACTGGATACAAGACTTGAGGAAAGGAAGGACTTGAGATCTCCCACAGCCCTGGCTTTCTGCCTGAGGCACTTTCCACTGCAGTGTGGGGTGGGGGCAGGCAGGCGGGGCACCGCAGTCTCGCTGGGATGAGCACACAGGATTAGGGAACTGGGTGGGGGAGGGGAACTGAGGCAGCTGGAAATTGTAGGGCAGAGTAGAGGAGAAGGGAAGCCAGGCAGAGAAAGACCTCCCTGGTGCAAGACTGGGACAGACGCTGTAGATAAAGAAAGGAGTAGATATTGAGAATCTCTGAGAAAGGAAGGCCCTGTACTTTGGGATATTTAAAACATTAGTTAAAACATTTAGTTTTAATTTAAAATGGTTAATTTGGTTTAATTGGCCAATCATCCGTTTTGACCAATTGAGTTATAACTAAATGGTTTTAGTTTAAAACATTTAGTTTTAAACCAAAGAGATTTGAGAGAATTGAGTGCAGAACGTGCTTGGGTTCCCTTTTCTTCTTACAGCCCAGGGAATTAGCAATAACCTCAACGAAAAAAGGCAACAGGTCTTGGTTGATGGGCCTGGCACAGCCTCACAGAGCCCCCAACACCCCAGAATGACACAGAGTCCAGGAGGAACCCAAGGACCCAAAAAGGGCCAGCATATTCTCAGACAGAGAGTTGCATGTACGTGACTGGGCATGAGTACCTCTTTACAATTCATACCCAGGTGCCTTGCTTGCCTCACCCCAATCCCAGCCCTGTGTGAAGAGGCCCTGGAAATGAGATCTCACATGGAGACAGAAGCCACATGGAGGAGAACTGAGGCATCCCTGCTGAAGTGCCAGCTGCATGAGACCAGTGAGTGACCCCCAGTTGACATTATGTGGAGCAGAATTACCCAGCCAAGCCACAGAATCGTGAGAAAGCACAAACCATTGTGTTTGAAGCCACTAGGTTTGGGATGGTTTGTTATGCAGCAATAGCTAACTGAGTCACCTTTTTCACACACCCCCAAACTCAGATGTAACTCAAGAGAAATGAGAGAGAAAGCCTGCACTGAGTATGTTTCTACTATTTGATAGACTAAAGACTTGTACTATCCATTATATTCCAATTATAGAAAAAGAATGAATGTTGCTTTCCTCATATACTTGAGTATGTCTGAAATTCACATCTTCCCTGTACTACAGGAAAGCAAAGCTGACTACTCACTATTTAAGTAGCAGGCATCCTTTGTTTTGTCCTTCCCTGCACCCCTAGCTCCTTCTTTTGCTCTCAGTATCCCCGTTTTCCCTTTGGCAAACTACCCTTCCTGCATTCTGTGAGCACCCGGAGGAACTTCAGTCAGAGTGCCCTCACGTGTGGGGTGGACACCGGCACAGCATTGGCCAGTTCAACCTTCTCTCCCAGAACCCACAGGCACAAGAGCTAAAAGTCATTTGGCCGGGCCATTTCCGTGGCCCAGGGAACTGCCCAGGGTTTCCTGCTACTCAAGATGCCTGCACCTTCCCAGACTCCTCTCCTGCTCTCTGCATTGGAGTCTGCTAGTACCTTCCAAAAATCTGCCTTTCACTGAATTCAGCCAGAATTACTTTCCATTGCCTGTCATCAAAGAGCCCTGACTGATACATGATACGGCCTGTTAGGGCAGAAACTCACTGGTGTGCTTAATATTTTTCAGTGTGGAGGTCACGTGGTTGAGCCATGTGTTGGCCTGGACACCTGCAATTCTTGCCAAAAGGATCATCTGAGCGAGGAGCACTGATTTATCTGAATGGAAGTCTGTCAACAACCCTTTAGAGAAAACCGTATCTCCTGGTCCGGTGCCCCAGGCCTCATGCTTCCCTCCCTGCCTCCCCAGCTATCAACGCCTCTCTTGCTCTTTGCGATTCCAGATGTCAGTCTAGCTTATGTTTTCTTCCCACCAAACCCTCTAGCAGCACCAAGCACAGTGCCAGGCTCATCACAGATTTTAATTATTGATGGATTGAGTTGACTGATTTACTCCTGGGTGTTTCTCTCCCGAGATTCCCACCAATGCCCACGTGCCATACAACAGTCCCATTGGGTGCGTGTAGAATGGGGCTGTTCCTAAGGGCAAAACACAGTGTGATGACAGGGCCCCAGGGTTGTGTGGTATTTGGATGGGCACATGAGTTGTGGCTGGGAATGCCCTGGACCAACACTGGGAGCTGAGCTCTCAGGTGAAGGGGACCCAGTCATAAATGAGGCCTGGCCCCAGTCCCCACCCCATGCAGGCCCATGGGAGAGATCCCTGGGTGCCATGTGTTACCGTTTCTGCAGGACAGTGACAAACTCCGTGAGCCGGTCACGCTCCACCTCGGCAGCCTGCCAGAGGGCCTTGATCTCTGTCACTTGTGCCTGCCAGCCTTTTTGTTCTGGGGAGTCCGAGAACCTGAGACCAGGGTGGAGGGCAGAGGACAGAGGTCATCCGAGGCCTAGAAATAACACTTATCCCTGTGATGGTGGGAGAGACTAGAAGGACATTCAGGGCGAATGTCAGCCAGAGCAATGGAAGCAAGCCCAGTCCCTCTAGGTCCTCCCCTGCTGGCTTCTTTGCCCGCCATTCCTGGTCCTGCTGAAGTCCCTAGACTCCAAAGCTGAACCTACCAAAACTAGAGTTACACTGGTACCTCTGTCCATCTAAGACCTCTGGGGGCCTGGAATTAGTCTTGTGCTGTGGCAGGTGGCTCTTGGGGACCTGAGGTGCCTTGGATACCTGTGTGGCCTTTGGGGCCTGGCTGCCCTACCCAGTGTCAGGTGTGCCCAGTCTCTGTGTCCCTGCCAGTCTCTCCCAGCCCTCCTGCATCTTCTGGCTTGATCCCCAAGCCCAGCCCACTTTCCTGGAGCCTGGGCATTTGGCTTTGCAGCTTGTTCAATTGTCTCCAGCCCTAAGTCAACCCATCACTGCTTCCCTCTTACCACTGGGCCTGCCTACCAACCCCTTACCTGCTGGCTGGAACCAGGACAGAAGGTAAACTCTGCCCCCCAACTTCAACCCCCCAGAGCCCACATGTGCATTCCAAGTTGCTCTCCGCTGTGCCCCCACTTTTCCCAGTGAGACCCTGAGCTTACTTTTCTAGCAGTACAGGGCATAGGGAAGGTTGCAGAGCTGGGCAGTGTACTGAGAACTGGGCTGGGGCATGTGATCCTGAGGGCTGACTCCTCTGTGGTCTTGGGCAGGTCTCTTCCTCTCTCTTGGTCCCAGTTCCCCCACTAAACATTGAGAGGGGTGGTTGAGATGGGCTCCGAGAACTGCAGACCCCTCCGTGACTCCTAAATATGCTCTAAGGCGTTGCTACTACGAGTGGTCTCTGAATCGGTGGCTCTGGCATCTCCTAGCAGCTTGTTAGAAATGCAGAATCCCAGGCTGTACCCCAGTCCTGCTGAATCAGAACCCGCACTTGACCTGGCTGATCCACAGGGGCTCTGTGTGTGCACTGCAGTTTGGAAAGCCCCATTCATCTCCCCAGTTCTACAGTGTGGGCAGAGGAGGAGCAGGAGCAAAGGGCCGATTCTTCACTCTGCCCTTATCCCAGGCACCACACCAGAGTCACCTGAAGGGAGTGGGTTCAAACCATGCCAGCCCGAATAGACATACTCTCTGGGATCACTCTGCTGGCTGGAGCCAGGACATTCTATGAATTCCTGCCTGTGAATTTCTGTTCCTGTCACCTGTGGTAGGGGACTGTAAGCTCCATGAGGGTAGGGCCCACGCATGGTCGGGTTCAGTAAGTATTTGTGTGTTGTGGAAGAAACAAGCCTGAGAACCAGCAGTCTGGGCAGCCAAGGCACACAGCAGCTCCTATATCTCTGTGTGGCGCAGAGGTCACAGCCACACAGGCCTGGAAGGGACTCTAAAGGGTCATCTTGTCCATCTTCCTGCTCTCATTACTGTGACTAAAACCTCAGAGAAACAGAGCCTGCCCATTCTCCCTGTGCTGTGACAAGGCCTCCCACCCTCAGGAGTGTGGCACATGCCTGTGGCTCAATGTCAGCCCACTCTCCCCAAGTGCCTTTGTGACCCCAGTCTGATGGGTGGGGCAGCTTTGGCCCACAGATGCTATGCTGTCAAGTGTCAGCAGCATGCTGTCCCCCACTTTTGGGGGATAGCAGCCCAGAGAAGGACCAGTTTGCCTGGAGCCACAGAGATGAGGGACTGGGGCCACTAGGAGGCCTTGCCTGGAACCTGAGCTGACCTGCCTGAGGGGTCAGGGCGGGGAGTGCTGACAGCAGGAGCATGGCTCCAGTGGACAGTGGGCAGGGCTCGGGACAGGGCTTAGAGGCAGGACAATGCTGTCCTTTGTCTATGGGCTGGCAATAGGAACAAAGGGCCCATTTACACCCTCTGGCTTGATTCTGTCAACAAAGGGGGGCCCGAAGGCTGAGGGGCTATCAGTGGGAAACCATATCATGTGAAATTCTCCCCTTTGAGGCTGATTCTCAATGAGCAAGAGAAGGTGAGGGAAGGTGCTGGAAGCCAGGCCCAGGAAGATTCCTCATGTTAATTCTCGGATAGCCGGTAGGAAACCTAGCCTGGGAGTCAGAGGCCAAGATACTAGTTCTGAAGCTGCTTACTCTATCATCTTGGACAGGACACTGGACTTCCCTGATCCTCCCCGTCCTTATGTAACCTTGGAAGAGTCCCTGGACTTTGCTTGGCCTCAGTTTCCCCTCCTTTTAATGGGATGGCAATACTGGTTGAGCAATCAAGAATGGGAAAAACTGTGAAAGTCCACAGGTCGGGGGTCCATACCTAGGTGAGGTCCTGTGGGGACTGGGCAGGGAAGGCCTCGTGAGAGCAGATTCCACCAGAGTGTGGCCCAGGCTGGTCACAGAGCTGTGTAAAGGCAGAAGGGGCCCATCAGCCTGGGAAGGCAGACCACGCCCTGCTGGGCCTCACCTCTGCATGTGAGGTGGAGCAGTGGCCAGCAGGGGTCCAGTAAACCCTTGCAGCAGTCCTGTGGATTTGCTGCCCTTCTTTCCAGAACTCTTGCTTGCTCAAAATGAGAAAGAACAGGAGACACCAGAGCCTTGAACAACCCAACACAGGTCTGTCTGAGGGCCCCAAGGGCAGAAAACTTTTGAGACCAGCTCAAAGAGGATCTTACAGGGAGCTGCAACCAGCATGCTCTTGAAGTGATAAAATCTGGGCCTAACTGGCTCATTACTGCAGATGCAGAGCTGATGGCATAGGAGAGGCCCACGTATTGGAAGAACAGCAGCATAGTTACCTTAAAATTGCACCCATGGCTTCCCATCAGAGGTGGCAAGAAACAACCTTTCTTCTGAATAATTAATGTTCACTTTCCAACCCCACTATCCCATTGTTTTCTTACCGAGAAGATCCAAGCCTGCCAATGTGATCGTCTGCTGAGGCCGGGGACTTGGTCAGGCCTGGGTCCTCCAGGAACTGGGTGTAGGCAGGGCTGACCTCACGACCACTGGACCCCTCACCCACTCCTTTATTCCGAAGATACTGTAGGAACAGATGTGGGTTCCATCCTCAGGGCTTTGGCTCAGAGGCCTAGAGAAGGCAGGAGGGGACCTTGGCTTGATTTCGGGGCTTTCAGAGGATATGAAAGAGGCTTCTTTTCAGGAGTGAAAAGCGAGGCCTGTTTGGTGAAGGCACTACTTGCATGATAATGACATCTAATAATGCCTCTCTTCAGAAAGAAAGCTACATGGTGTGAGGACGGTGACTGGGCCAGGAAGCTGTTCTACATTCAGGTTCCAGAGGGAGGTGCATGGCCTCACAAGCGGGGCAGGTCAGAGACTAACGTCTCCGAGTGGGTCCACTTCTCCAGGCAGCCCCACCCACATGTGGCTGAACACCAGGTGTGACTTGAGGCCAGCTGCCTTCCTCAGCTGGAACACCTGGACTTTCCAGACACCTGCAGCCAGAAAGGCTGGCAGGGATTCAGTGAGGGCAGGCAGCCTTGGGTGGAGGCTGAGCCTGCCAGGCCTCTACCCCTCCCTCAACCCCTTCCTCTTCTGGATACCTGCTGGGGCTGGACTGGACAGGAACATTAGAGACCCCCAGCAGGAGGTCAGGCCACCAGAGTGGACAACTGGTGTAAGCCCCTAACAACCTGGCTTGTCCACCACTCCCACCCATTCTGAGAAAACTCGAAACATGTGCCAACTTGTCTGGTGGGTAATGCTTGGCCCCCATTCAGCTGGTGACCTCAGAGGTAGGAACAGTCTTCTCCTGTGTGCCTGGAGAAAGGACAGTGGTGAGGTGAAGATGCTGGAATGTTCCTGTGTACCCCTTCAGACTTCCCTCCCCAGTGAGCCAGAATGGGGAGCAGGGCGAGTCCCCACTCACTGACATATGTGCTCTGTTCCCAGACTTCCTTATGCCCCCAGGCTCCCCTTCAACCTTACAGCACTTTGTCATAGCCAGTCTGGGGCCCCACGCTGCCTGGGCCTGTGGGGATAGAGGCTACAGGACAAACCAGGCTGGTCAGCCAATGCCAGCCTGAGGCCGGGCCTAGGGGCTCTTGAGCTCTTACCTCTGAACAAACCACAGATCCCCAGAAACAAAGAGCAGGGCTGCTTTGCAACATGCCTTTGGCTGAGCCAGTCAATTTCCCCGTGGGCCAGAGGCTGCAAGGCTCCTTTGTCACTGGGAGACTTGCATGCCTGTCAAAAAATTCTCCCCAAGGCCCACCCAGCCCCACCACCACCCCAGGGGGGTGAAGGTGGCTGACTCCTAGCAGCCCCAAGCTGTGCCCTCAAGGCATCTGCCAAGACAAAATATCTTTACAAGTTCATGCCTTAGACAAACATTTATTGAGCATCTACTGTGTGCTTGCTCCAGTGCCAGGCACGGAGGTACCATGGTCTATGCTCCCTCACAGGGAGTGCAGGGGAGAAAACAGGAAAATGACTACACAGTGTGAGAGAAGTTTGGCTTGGGGCTGCATAGGGAGTTAGAAGAGTGCTAGGAGGGGCACACAACACAGAACAGGGGTCCCAGGGCTTCCTGGAGGAGCTCCTGATTGGTAGGACCTAAAGGCTGAGGGGCAGCCGGCCAGACTGAGGCTGTGCGGGAGGAGAGGAGGGAGTGTGCTTCACGCTGCACACAGCCCTGGAGCGCAGAGCAAGCAGGGCTATGTGAGGAGCTGAATGGTGCTTGCGTAGCCAGAGTGTGGGGAAAGGGGAAGGGTGAAGAGAAGATGCAGGATGGGTGACAGCAAGAGCTAGTCACGTGGTGCCTGGAAGCTGAATGAAGTATGGTTTTCCTTCTCTCATCCTGCTGCTGGAGCTACTGCCACCATCTTGAATCCTGAGGATAAAGCCACAGCTGGAGATGGGAGAGGGTAAACTGGAAGGTGGCTGGGTCCTTGAGAACCACGTGAGGTAGAGGGTGATAGTAAGCTATGAACAGATTTTAAGTGGAGCAAGGACATAATCAGGTTTGTGTGCAGAATGGGTTGGGGAGCCAGATAGAAGAAGGTGGCCAAAGTGGAGCCAGGAGGATGAAGTCTGGCCTGAGCTAAGGCAAGTGGAAAGAAGTGGAAGGAGCTGGATGGACTTGCCCAGCTTGAAAATGGGTTTGGGGGCTGTGCCAGTGCCCTACTCACGTGCACATTGAGTTGTCCGATCTCCATCTCCAGCTGCCGCACTTTGGCCTCCCGCTCAGCCACCATGGCCCGCAGCTGGGCTACTAGGCTGTTGCTCCGCTGAGCCTCGCTGTTCAGTTGCTGGTCCAGGTGGTGCTGGGATACTCGCGTCTTCTCCTCCTGCAGACTCAGGCTGCCTAGGATCTCCTGTAGCTGCTTCAGCTGGTCCTAGGGGGCCAGGCAGGAGGGCAGGTGGAGTCAGTCATGGCCCACTGGGCAGAGGAGGACAAAAACAGACTGCCTCCCTCACCCCAAAGTAGCCTGCAGGAACCTAATAGTGGGATCCTGTTCCCTCAAGAGGCAGGAACACCTTCCTTGCCTGCCATCAGGGGGTGTCGAACCAGGCAGGCGGGGACCATGTACTTTTCCTGTACTCAACTTCCTTCTCTGAGTTTGGGGTCAAGAAGATCCAAGGGGCTCTCAGACAACAGAAAGCAGATCAGATGGTGACACCTCACCCGGTGGGAGAGATATTTACCTAAAAGGAAAGCCTGATCCCGCTTGGCTGGGAGACTGCCCTTGGAGGCAGTACCTGGACCCCGCCAGGGATCCGTTATCACCCGACTGAAGCCCCATCTCAAGGAAATGCCCTCAAGGAGACTCCCGGGCAAAGGCTTCCTGCCTGGGGCCAACAGAAAGGACAATGTCAGTGATTTGGAACAGGTGGGGGCTGTTTTCTTCACCTCAGAGTGGAGGAAACTGAGGCCCAGAGAGCCCAAGGGCATATTGCTGGTGAATAGCATGACTGGGGCTAGTTTGCAGCTCTCATCATGCCACCTTCAATGACAAAGAATGGTGACATGCAGGGACCCCAGAGGACATCCGGCCCTGCAACTTATTTTTAAAACTGGCTGCTGAGCCTCAGAGAGGGGATGCAACTGGCCTATGGTCACACAGTGAGGGACTGACAGAGGCAGGCCTAGATTTCAGGTCTTCTGTGCCCCGCCCACCACCCTGTCATGTAAAGTGATCATGAACTAAGGTAGGTGCCTGAGCCAGCACCCCCCAAACACCCCAGCCAAGCCAGACACGATCACCCTCCGGGGCCTGCAGGCACAACTTGGAATCTGACACCAAACTTTGGTGCCTCAGGTCCCACAGAGAAAGGTCCAAGCTGTAGGGTTAGGAAAGCAGTATGGCCTTATTAGTCAAGGAAGTTTTTTTTGTTGTTGTTGTTTTATACTTAAGTTCTAGGGTACATGTGCACAACGTGCAGGTTTGATACATAGGTATACATGTGCCATGTTGGTTTGCTGCACCCATCAACTCATCATTTACATTAGGTATTTCTCCTAATGCTATCCCTCCCCCAGTCCTCCACCCCCTGACAGGCCCTGGTGTGTGATGTTCCCTGCCCTGTGTCCAAGTGGTCTCATTGTTCAATTCCCACCTATGAATGAGAACATGCGGTGTTTGGTTTTCTGTCCTTGTGATAGTTTGCAGAGAATGATGGTTTCCAGCTGCATCCATGTCCCTGCAAAGGACATGAACTCATCTTTTTATGGCTGCATAGTATTCCATGGTATATATGTGCCACATTTTCTTAATCCAGTCTATTATTGATGGACATTTGGGTTGGTTCCAAGTCTTTGCTATTGTGAATAGTGCCACAATAAATATATGTGTGCATGTGTCTTTATAGTAGCATGATTTATAATCTGTTGGTATGATACCAGAATGGGATGGCTGGGTCAAATGGTATGTTTCTAGTTCTAGATCTTGAGGATTGCTATCACTGTTTCCGTTCCACAAATGATTGAAACTAATGTACATCGCAGCCACAGTGTAAAAGCGTTTTTTATCCTATTTTCCACATCTCTGCAGCATTCTGTGTTTCCTACTTTTTAATGATCCACCATTTCTAACTGGTATGAGGATGGTATTTCATTGTGGTTTGATTGCATTTTCTGATATGACCCAGTTGATGATGAGCATTTTTCATGGGTCTGTTGGTGCATCGATGTATTCTTTTGGAGGGAAGTGTTCGTGGTTCATATCTATGCCACTTTTTTTGATGGGGTTGTTTTTTCTTTGGAAAATTTTTTTGAGTTCTTTGTAAGATTGGATATTAGCTTTTCAGGATTGGGTAGATGCAAACATTTTCTTCCATTTGTTACATTCCTGTTACTCTGATGGTAGTTTTTGCCATGCAGAGCTCTTTAGTTTAATTTGATCCACTTGCTATTTTTGACTTTTGTTGCATTGGCTTTTTGCTGTTTTCAGTATGAAGTCCTTGCCATTTGCTATTCCTGAATGGTATTGCCTTAGGCTTTTTTCTAGGGTTTTATGGTTTTTAGGTCTAACGTTTAAGTCTTTAATCCCCATTTCTTTGAATAATTTTTGTGGTAGCAATGGTGTAAGGAAGGGAGTCGCGAGTTTTAGCTTCTACACATGGCAGAGCTGTTTTCAGCACGATTTATGTAATAGGATGTTCTGCCCCCCCCCTTTCCTTGTTTTTCGTTAGGTTTCGTCAAGGGAATTCAGATGGTTGTAGATTGTGGTGTTATTTCTGGCTCTGTTCTGTACGCCTTGGGTCTATTCTCTGTATTGATACCATTCCCGATGCTATTGTTACTGGTAGGGGCTTGTTAGTATAGTTTGAAGTCCGGTAGCATGGATTGCCTCAGATTGTTTTTTGCTGGGATTGTTTGGGCAATGCGGGTCTTTTGGTTCCATATGAACTTTTAAAGTAGTTTTTTTCAATTCTGTGAAGAAAGTTCCATTGGTAGCTTGATTGGGGTTGGTATTTGGAATCATATAAGATTACTTTGGGGCAGTATGGCCATTTTCATGAGTATTGACTCTTCTATCATGGAGAATGGGAATTATTCTCATTTGTTTGTGGGTCCTCTTTTATTTCGTGAGCAAGTGGTTTGTATTCTCCTTGAAGAGGTCCTTCCAATCCCTTTAGTTGGATCTAAGGTTATTTTATTTCTTTGGCAGCAATTCGGAATGGAATTACACTAATGATTTGGCTCTTGTTTGTCTTTAATGGGTGTATAGAATGTTGGGGATTTTGACATTGATTTTTGTATCCTTGAGATGCTCATTGGTATAGTTCGAGATTTTTGGTGAGGATGATGGGGTTTTCTAAAGGTATACGAATCATTGTCATCTGGAACAGAACAATTTGAGCTCTCTTTTTTTTTTTTTTTTTTTGTGAGACGGGAGTCTGCTTTGCCAAACCGCAGGCTGGAGGCAGGCTGGATATTCAGCTGCATGCAGCTCGCTCCGGGTTACGCCGATTCTCCTGGCCTCAGCCTCCGGAGTAGGCTTGGGACTACGGGGCCCGGCACCTTTCGCCGGTGGTTTTTGTTTTTTGTTTCAGTAGAGAGGATTTTCCCATTTAGCCAGGATGGTTCGTCGATCTCTGGACCCTCGTGGATGCCGCCCGTCTGGGGCGCTCCAAGAGGTGCTGGATTTAACAGGCTCTGAGCACCGCGCTGCCGGCGGACTTCATCTTCTGGCCTAATTGATACCTTTATTTCTTTCCTGCGCCTGATGGCTGGCAGAACTTCCAACACTATTTTTGAATAGGAGTGGCGGATGAGAGGGCATCCTTGTTTGGTTGTGGTTTTCAAAGGGAATGCTTCCAGTTTTTGCCCATTCAGTATGATATTGGCTGTGGGTTTGTCATAAATAGCTCTTATTATTTTGAGATATGTTTAATCAAGAACGTTTTTATAGTCAGATAAACCTGCTTTGAACTCAGTTGTATGGTCTTAGATGAGTTATCTAATGAATTTGACTCTTAGTTTCCCCATCTGCGAAGTGGGATTAAAATATATAATCCTAGAAGGTATCTTGGGGACTAAGCATTATAACATGCCCAGAAGGGGAAGGGTTCTGTGCCACCACAGAGACAAGAACTGGTACTGGCTCCTCTTGTCCCTTTCATTCCTTGCTGAAAAATAACCCAGGGTATAATACCACCTCCTTCCCCCAATACATTTCTGTCTCTTTTGGGGTCCATAGGCCTAAGTGCCTTGTGCCTGGTGCTGCTCCATCACTGCCCTCAGGCAGCCTCCCTGAACTGCTCCTGTCCCTGGGGCAGGGCTTTGGTGCTGGGGGCCATCTGGAGGCAATGGGCTTTGGGGTTACACAGGTGGCATTGAGGGGTGAGTGAGGGCTCACTCTGGCCATGGCTGCAGCCCATCCTTTGGGGAACCAGCCCTGGCTCTTGCCCTGCCTGAGTGGTGGGGCCATACCATGAGGGCATCGATGAGCTCGTCATCATGCCGGCCCTTCTCCACCAGGGTCCCCATCTGATTCTTGAGGGTCTTCACCTCACTCGACAGCAGCTTGTTCCGAGACCTCATGCCCTCAAACTTCTTTTTTAGCTCTTCAAGCTCTCTCTGGAGGCCATCCCGCTCACTGGCAAGTTTCTGTAATTAGAAAGTGAGGGCATGGGCAGCAGGGCTGTGTGGGACCTTGGCCACATCTGCTTCCTGGCTCCTACTCAATGGCAAGGCCTGGGGCTGGGGGTGGGGGTGCTTGTTGAATGTCACAGAGCAAGTCACTAGAGCCAGGGCCCTGACTCCCAGCCCAGGCCTCTCAGGGATATCAGGTGGCCAGCAGCCTCCCACTCTTGCCCTAGCACATGACAGCACTAACGGATAACAGCACTCCCCACCTCAGCCTGAGACACAGGCTTCCTAGCACATGAGAGGAAAGCCGCCGGCCAACTGCATGTGTCCTCCAGAGAGAACAGCCAGTCCTACCCCTAAACCCCACCCTGAGCAGGGGAAAAGAGAAAAGCCATACTTTAGAAAGAGTGCTAGGCTAGGTTCCAACTGCAGCACCTTGCACCACTGGGAGCTAGAATGAGAAAGGAGGGTTGTTCCACTTCCTCCATGATCATTTGGCACAACCCTTGACAGCACCTTGCTTTGCCAGCTACCAACTGGAAACTCACATGCAGTGCACATCTTCAGAGTCTCTCATTCACTCATCCCTTCATTCTCAAGTGTTTCCTGAGGGCCTACTCTGGGCTTAGTGTTGTTATAGGTGCTGGGGGACAGCAAAAAGCAAAACAGTCCTTGTCCTCAAGGAGCTGATAATCCTAATGGAGGAGACAGATAATGTCAAATAGGGACAAATACTTGAAAGTAGGAAACAGGAATAGTGAGAAGGATATGGTCAGGGAAGGCCTCTCTGAAAAGGGGGCATCTGAGCAGAGATTGAAGGAGATGAGGGGAAGAGCAAAGGCCCTGGGGTAGAAGGTGTGTGGCTGAAGCATAGTGAGTTAAGGGGCAGAGGCTAGATTAGTCAAACCCATAAAGACAAGATGGAGACATTGAGGAGGAGCTTGGGCAGTGGGTGACATCACCTGCTTGAGCCTGAGGGTGAACTGTTGCTGGAAAAGTGTTTTCATATCCTTCATGAAGTGAATTATAGAAATGTAAAACAAGTAAAACATGAACCCTTTTCAGGGAGGCAGACATTACTCACCTGTAGCTCTCCTGCCTACACACTCCAGGCTCTCATAGATGCCTGGCAGAGGGAATGCATGCAGGAAGCTGTTTCCTTCCACCCACCATTGCAGCTTATGGTCAGCCCAACTGTTCAACATAATCTGTTCTGCACTAACATGTAAGTCCAAGCTAGGTGCATTTCAAACCCAACATTTCCAAATCTCAACTCCCTTTCTCCTCTTGAACCCACCCTGTCTCCCTTATCCACCCACTATACTCCCTAGCAGTCCTTTATAACTCTTCCTCCTCATCTCTCTTCCAAGTCCAATCTGTCCTTGAGCCCTAGAAAGTCTGTCCTCACTGTCCCAGGTGTCTGGCCCTTCCATGACAGTCCACTGTCTTGGCAAAGATCCTTGGTCATGTCTCCAGGATCACTATTCTGCCTTCCATTCCTCTTCCAACCCATTCCTCCTCTTGCTCCAACCATGTGACCTTTTCAAAATGCACAGTTGACCACCTCCCTCCACAACTTAAAACCCTTTGGTGGGCTGGGTGAGTGGCTCACGCCTATAATCCCAGCACTTTGGGAGGCCAAGGCAGGTGGATCACCTGAGGTTAGGAATTCAAAACCAGCCTGATCAACATGGTGAAACCCCATCTCTACTAAAAATATAAAAATTAGCCAGGCGTGGTGGCTTGTGCCTGTAATCCCAGCTATTTGGGAGGCTATGGCAGGAGAATCTCTTGAACCCCAGAGGCGGAGGTTGCAGTGAGCTGAGATCACGCCATTGTACTCCAGCCTGGGCAACAGAGCGAGACTCCATCTAAAAAACCAAAAACCCTTTGGTGGTTCTCTACAGCCTTCAAGATACAGGCCAAAAGTCCTCGCTGGCATACAAAGCCCAGCAGGCCCTGCCCACCTCTGTGGTCTCACTGTTTCCCTCCTCACAGCTGATGGTCTAGAGCGCTGGGAGGTGCAATGTGGTCATGGTCACAGCATTCCTAACACGGGGCCTAACCCAGAGTTGGTGCTCATAGGCAAAAGTCTCCTGATGAAAAGGCAAGGCCTCACTGTTAGGTAGCTCACTGCCAGGGCCACTAAGTGGGCCTGTTGTATGGCCTGCCTGCACCTCTTCATGCTGCTTCTGCTACCTTCTTTAAAGTGGGCCCTACTCCTCACTCTCATTGCAAGTTTGGGGAGGCTAACTCATCCCCTCAAACCTTGAGGCAGGTATCTGAAGCTTGACCAATCAAAACACCCTGTACTCTTGGCCACAGTGATGAGTTCAAGGATGGCCACATAACCTGGCTAGCCCAAAGACACTCAATTCTGGGAATTTGATGGAACTATTGTGAACGAGAAACACTTTGTCTGTAGAGGCTGTATTGGAGAAGAGCAGCTGGGACTACCCAGGGTCCCTGTGGAAAAGAGTGAAGCCAACCCAGGAGAAGTTGCTGAGAGCAAGGCCCCAATCTGCACCTGAAGCTAGGCCACCTCTGGATTGTTCATTTACATGGGCCAATAACTTCTCTTTGTTGCTTAAACCTGGTAGAGTTAGAGTTCTGACACTCCCAATGCAGCCAGTGAGATGCGGCCCCTGGTGCTGAGTCCAGCCTGCCCACTTCTTTCATCAGCCTGGAACTTTCCTTCTTCAAGCCCCATCTAACCCTATCATACTTTTGGGGCCGTGGCCCTCCCCTTCTCCCTTTTACAATGAGAATTTCAGGTACAGCACCTCCAAAACAGCCAGGATGGGACCACGAAAAGTTCATTAAATGGGCTCACAGTGAGGTCCCAGTCAGGCAGCTCAGGTCGGTTTGACAGGACATGAGGAACATGCAGAGGTGACTCAGGTCCACTGCCTAGAAGGGGTGGCTCAGACTTCCGACCACATGTGCCTCAGAGCCCTTGCAGGCACCATCACGATCTCTCCTTCCTACATGCCTGGTTGACCTCCTCACTGGGCATGCGTTACCTCCAAGCCTTCCTGTTTTTCCCTTTCCAGGCTGCGGATCCTCAGCAGGTTTTTCTCCTGTGCCGACAGCTTCCTTGGGTCTGGATAGACAGACAACTCATCACTGCCTGTTCCCACAGACTGGCTCCGGGACTGGCCCAGTTGCTTCTCAAGCTCGCGAACCTGAGGATGGTAAAACTCATTGTTCCACAATGGGTCTGCAGCCAGCCTCTACTACTCAGAGTGTGATAGGAGACCCCATGGACTGAAGATGGAACCACCTCTCTAGATGGCTGTGGTAGCCCCATCTGAGGAGGACTAGGGGTGGGGGACGATCTGAGCTGGCATCTTGAGGAACACATTGGAAGACACCAGGGAAGTTCAGCTTAGAAAAAAGGTGAATGACAAAAATCACCCTATATCTGAGGGGCTGTTTGAGGCTAGGAAGCAGACCTGTGGCCCCAGGAACCAGGGAGGGATAGGATGGCAGGTCTCAGTTCAAGAAAGAACTTCCTTATTTTAGGTATTTATTTATTTAGAGACAAGGTCTTGCTCTGTTGCCCAGACTGGAGTGCAGTGGTGCAATCATGGCTCACTGTAACCTCTGCCTCCCGGGCTCAAGCAATCCTCCCAGTTTAGCTGCCTAAGCAGTGTATATATATATATATACACACACACACAAAAAGAGACGGGCTTTCACCATATTGCCCAGGCTGGTCTTGAACTCCTGGGCTCAAGCGATCTGCCCACCTCAGCCTCCCAAAGTGCTGGGCAAGGAGGAACTTTCTAATAGACAGACCACCTAAGACTGGGTGGGCTCCTCGGAAGATGGCGGTCACTTACAGGAGATATTGCAGAGGGGAAGGCAGGGTTTGGAAGCAGAGAGACTGGCTCAAAGCCTCACAGACTGTGTGACTGTGCACAGGTAACTCTGAATCTCAGTTCCCTCATCTGTAAGACGGGACTAAGAGTACACCCTGCATAACACTGTTATGAGGATTCAGTATCATGAAGTTGTCTGAGCCTGGGAATCCTCTGAGGTTCTTCTTGGACTGACAAATCTTGGTGCTTACTCCAGATCAACAAACTAGAGCTCTAGGGGAAGGGACTTAGAATCTGCATTTTAAATGCTACAGGTGATTTTTAGGATTAGGTAACTTTGCAAAATCCCAAGATGGTCTAGGTGAAGGTGTCAATACAGCCTGGCACACGTGGGCCCTCAGCAAGTGGCAGGTAGATGTCATCCCACAGAACAACGTCCTTATCACCCTTATAACACTAGGGTAGAAGCAGACAACTCCTAGGATCCTTCTGACCCTGGTTTCCATGTCAACACAACCAAATGACAAAACAACGTTGGTAAACTTGAGCCAGGAAAGGAAGCACAATTCGCTAGGCTCCCTGGCAAAGGGCAGGAGCACAGCTTTGAAGGCACCCATCAGTGCCCTCGTGTGGCGCTGTGAGGCAATTCCATTTAATCATTAAAGAACACTGTTACCTTTAAGAATTTGACATACAACTCAATGACAATAATAAGGAAGTTGTTTTGTGCTTATTATGGTCAGGCACTGTCCTAGGTGCTTTAGAAATGTTATTTTATGTCACCCCATTTCACAGGTGTGAAGACGAAGACATAGGAAGATGAAGGGGTTTGCCCAAGGTCACAGAGTTGGCAGACCAGTGGCCAAACGTAAACTCAGGTCTCTCGAACCCCAAGGCCATGCACTATCATCTATTAGCTTCTTGGAGTTTTTCCCCCTTTATGTTGGCTTCAAGGATCTCATGGGAGACACTGAGGATAAAAGCCACTGTGACACTTTAAGTCCCTGGGAACAAGAGTGATATGCTTGGCAAATAGTGGAAATCACACACCTTCTCACATGTTTCTTAGTTTGAAGGCACAAAGGGAAAAGAACCACACCTAACTTTTATACAGTGCTTCCTCCATGCCAGGCCCTGTGCTAAGCACTTTACAAGCATTGACTCAATTCACCCAACAATCCTGTGGGGTAGGCATCGTTATTATCCCCATTATACAGATGAGGAAACTGAGGCACAGAGCTAAAGGAACTTGCTTGAGGTCACACAGCTGATGAGTGGAGAGCTGGGATTTGAATTTGAGCAGTGTGGCTCCAGAGCCCTTGCTGTTAGCCTCTTTTGGTATGCTCCAAAATATTCAGACAATAAAGAGGGAGACAAGGCTAAGTTTTTATTGGGTAATTAAAACTTTCAAAAGACTACAAGCATCTGGACAAAACTGGAAAAAGCTTACAATTACAACAGTCACGCAAATTTACATAAACTAGGGGAAAAAAGATGCCTGGAGTTAAATAAATCAAACCAAAGGCGTTGGCATTTGTTAAGCTCCAGTGCCTGGCATGTGGTAAGTGTTATATAAGAGCTTGTTCATTAAATAACAAATTAGAATCAGGCTGGTTGGCGAGAAGGTAAAACAACAGCCCTGCACGAGTGCACTGTGAGACCTAAAGGCCTTTTTTGGGTACTGTGTGCTTAAGTCTCTATGGGGGTCAGGGCAGGTCTTTCTGGGGCATTTTAAATCCTTTGTTCAGGCCAGGAGAAGTCTGGTGACTCACCCACCTTGCTCTGCAAAACAAGAATTTGTTGAGCCCGACCCCTCCAGGTCCCTGGTGAAGATAGGAGCTGCTGGACATTGACGTCTTCCCCAACCTCGCTGGCCAAAACCTGAAATAAGGCAGGGCCTTCAGTGTGGCCAAAAGAGAGGGCTCCACCAGACCCTGATGCTGCTGCATATTTAGAGGCATATTCAGAAGCAGCCTTCACCTACACAATCTTCTTCCCATCTCAGAGCATAGCCCTCAAAGGTCAGTTTACCATGTCCCAAGGGCAGCTCTCCCTGGGAAAGTGGTAAACCCATCATCCCTGGCATTTCTTGGCAATGCTTAGAGCCGCCAAGAAACTGCCGGCAATTCCCAGATAGGGCCCCTTGCTCTTGACATATTCTGGGATGACTGAACCACAAAGCTGACCAACACCTGCTTCCTTAACCCATTCACCTGTCACCTAGAGCTGAGCTAATTCTGGCTATAGGAAATACATCGCAACAGGACCCGGGCCTCTGTGAAAAGCCACAGACAAGTGGACTGCTGAGTGCAGCAAAGGTGGGCTACTGAATGTCAGTTGGGGCACTGTGGTCCAAGAAGGGCCCAGCTTTGTGATTATTGAAGTGCAGCGCTCAGGCCCAACGTCAAGGCTTTGAGGCAGAAACAATACGCTCCAGCTTGTGACCTGGGCCCCTCTGAAGCCTGTCACAGAAACCTGATCCAGCGTACCAAGTCTCTGGCGCTTGTTTCCACAATAGAACACTGTTTTGGAAATCTTGGCCAGTCTGAGTGGTTCCAGCAGGGAAGACAAATGCCAGAGAATTTGCTATGTAAATAAAAATAAATAACGAACCAGCTGGGCCTGTGTCCCAAGTCTGAGCATTTTCCTTTGAAAGGGTCCTTCAATACACAAAGAACCTCTTCATTTTCTGTTACAGACAGCAAAGCAGAAGGCAGGTGCTGGCAGGCTTCCAAGTTAAGTAAGGGTGACATTAAGGGGAGACCCAGGATCTACTGGGGCACAAGTTGTGCAGGGAAGGCTTAATGGACTCTCCCTGGGTAGATAGCACTGTCCTCCTCACTCTAGAGCTGGGCAGGCACCACAAGGGCATCTATGCTGCGGGGGTGGGGGTGGCAGGCTCAGGTAGTCAGCGACTCTGCCCACCAAATGGGTATGGACCAAGGACTGGCGGGAGGAAGGACTGGATCTGGAGCCTGACCCAGAGCAAGCAGTGTGGTCATGGGGCTGAGCACTCACGGCTCCAGAATGGAATCCACTGTGCCAGCCGTGCTCTTCCCAAGTCCAGCCCCAGCCACACAAGAAGCCCCAAGCCCTGGCTCTGAAAGACCTTCTGTGCCATCCGCAGCTCCTGCTTCACAGACTGGATCTGGTTGCGGAGGTCACTCATCTTCAAGTTGGTGGCTGCCAGCCTGTCCTGCAGGGCCTTCACCTCTGGGGTCTCCGGCTGGGTGGGAAGGACAGGAGAGAAAGTAGTCATTTATTGTCTACATGGGAACAGTAATCATAGCCCCCATTTATCCAAGTCTGTGCCAGGCACTGTGCTAAGTGTTTGACATGGAGTAACTCATTTAATCCTCATAAACCCCTGTGAGGTAGGTTCTCTTGTAAGCCCCTTATAGATGCAAAATAGAGGCTAGTGGAAGGTAAGTCCTCTACTTGGGCTATCTGGTTAATAAAGGTGGAACCTGGATTTGAATCCTGGCAGCTTAACTTTGGGACTGAGCTTTTTGCACAGTGTTGCACACACACGTGGGTGCATGCCTTACCGTACAGGTGAAGCATCTGGAGAGAGCGGCAGGCTCCACGCCTCCCAGACACTTCCTGGGTGTGGACCCTCTGCTGTGCTCAGAGACTGGCATCACAGCTAATCCATCTTCACTCAGAATAAAGAGGAAACCACCTTACTCCCAGAAGACAAGCCCAGTGTGGCAGGAGAGCCACAGCATCCTAATTCAGGATCCGCCTCTCCCAGATTCGTCAGCTTGGCCCTTGGTTTTTTGACAGCTGAGGGGCCTTGGGCTCTCTTTCCTAGCAGTGACCACTGCAATTTCCAAATGTTCATCTCTGTGGCTTGAAGAACTACAGCAACCATGAAAACTGCCTGCTGGAACTCTTAGCAGTGTCTTTTTTTTTTTTTAACCCAATGTTTTATTTAAACTATCTGGATGGAAATTTTTCTTAAATGGGCTGACTACCTCTCTGTCTTCAGTAGACACTCCTGTGACTCATAGATAATTGACAAAGGGACCTTCAAGGTCAGCCCATTCAAACCCCTTCCATAATGATGAAAATAAGGCCCAGAGAGGGGAGGTAATTTGCCTTCAGGCATACAGCTGGTTGGGGTGACACAGGTGGAATTAGAAAGAACACTGGTCCTTCCCCTGCCCTGGCTGACTCTTCCAATTTAAGCTGCTGCTAATGCTGGGCATCATGGCCACAGAAACGTTGGTTGTCAGGCTGAGCATCCCATCGGGCAATGATGCTGAGGCCCTCTGCTGCTGCCCCAACAGGGCAGAGCAGCTGAACTTCAGGAAACAGGGCTGGTACTACAGTGGCTTTCTGACCTTTCTCTATCAGGCACAAACAAAAGCTCCTGTGAATGCTAGTGTGAAAGACAGATCCAAGTATACCGGGTCCAGGAATTTCCATAGACCCCAGAGGCTCTGGGCAGCCCAGCTGAAAACCACTGGCCAAAGAAACTAGACATGGATACCTGGTCCAGAAACCCTGGCCTCATCCAGTGTCCTCATCTATGGAAAGGGTATGCAAATACTTCCCTGTTCCGCTTCCTCAGAGCACCACCATCAGGCTAAAGAGAACAGCCAACGTGAACAGAATGTGCCAGCTGAGAACTCATATGAAGCATAGGTGTATCTTTTTTTTTGAGACAGAGTTTCACTCGTTGCCCAGGCTGGAGTGTAATGGCATGATCTCAGCTCACTGCAACCTCTGCTCCCTGGGATGAAGCGATTCTCCTGCCTCAGCCTCCTGAGTAGCTGGGATTACAGATACCTGCCACCATGCCCGGCTAACTTTTTGTATATTTTTTAGTAGAGATAGGGTTTCCCGGCTAACTTTTTGTAGAGATGGAGTTTCACCATGTTGGCCAGGCTGGTCTTGAACTCCAGACCTCAGGTGATCCAACTGCCTCGGCCTCCCAAAGTGCTGGGATTACAGGTGTGAGCCACCATGCCCGGCCATCCTGTTTTTAAAAGTATATTTTGTTCTGTGTTCTTCCTCCTGTCTGGCCACCTGCCATCCCTGCGTACTCTGTTGGGTGCCGGCCTCTTCTCCTGTTAAATGTGTGGCTTTGAATCTGCCCTGGGTTGGGAAGCAACACCCCTCCACCCCCTGCCACGCCCCTGCCCTGTCAGGTCTCCAGTGCCATGAGCCCCAGTGGCCCTGACAGTGGGGGTGCTGAGAGCTGTGGGAATACGTGTGCTTCCATATGGCTGCAGTGACCCTGCAGCATCTCTTTGATCTGCTCAGAGCATGGAAAAAGCATACAGATTGGATCTGACTCTAGAACCTGGGCAGTGATGCCCTGTCCCAGTCTCATTTTCTCATCTGTAAAATGGGGATATGTAATGCCAATCTCCAGGGAACCCGTGAGGGTTGCTAAGACAATGCATATCAAGGATGCTGTCTGGGGCAGGTCCTGATGGAGGGCAATGCTGGCAGGTCTAGCTTGGCTTGAGTGGGCAGCTGGCAAGTGGGCTGAGGGCCAGATGGTGTTCTGGAGAGGGCTGGATCAGGCCCCATCCTCCTGGCTTAGGCAGCTGAGCTAATCCTACCTCCAAGCCATTTCAGAGTTCTTTCTGCCCAGAGTGAAATTCCACAGGCTTTGTGGGGGACCTGGGTATGGGCACACTCCCTCCCCTACCCGAGGCTGTTTTCTTTGAGAAAATAACTAAAACACAGTCCATGGGGAGCAGATAATGCCAATGCCACTCACATCACAGCCTCCTGAAGCCCCAAGCAGAGGGAAGGGTGTTCAGCTCCACTCTGGAATGTGCTTTGGAGGCCTAGGGTTGGAATGTGGATTGAGCCTGCAGGCTTCTGGAGTGTGGCTTGGGCTTGGGCTGCCCTGAACAGCCTAATGAGGGGGAACATTGCTTTTGCTCTCGCTCCGATCAGGAGATGCCAGGGAGAACACATGGTACTGATGAATTGAGATCTGCAGCCCATCACACACTCTTCTCTCTGGAACCTGGAACCTCCCATGCTCCCTGTGGCCAGAGAATAAAGTCAAAACTCCTGCTCCAGCTGCCATTCAAGGGCTCCCTCTATGGGTGACTTCACCCCAGCTTTTTTGGCTTACATTCCCCTTTTCTCCCTTGTGAGCTCTGGGCTGCAGTCAAATGTTATCCAGCTGATACTCAGTTCACCTTCCCCATCTTCCTTCTCCAGTAAGGCCAACTCAGGGATGCCCTCCTCCGTCCCACCTTCTAGCTGCAACCTTAATGGAGGGTGGACTCCCCTGTGAGCTCAGAGCACAGGGGCCATCTCTGAAGGCCCTGTCCACATCCTGCCTTCAAATGACTCCTCATTCCTCCTCTGGGATTCTCCATAGACAGAGCCTCTGTTTGTTGTTGTTGTTGTTGTTGTTTGTTTTGTTTCTTTGTTTGTTTTGAGACAGAGTCTCACTCTGTTGCCCAGGCTGGAGTGCAGTGGTGCAATCTCAGCTCACTGCAACCTCCGCCTCCCAGGTTCAAGCGATTCTCATGCCTCAGCCTCCCGAGTAGCTGGGATTACAGGCGTTTGCCACCATGCCTGGCTAATTTTTGTATTTTTACTAGAGATGGTGTTTCACCATGTTGGCCAGGCTGGTCTCGAACTCCTGGCCTCAAGTGATCTGCTGGCCTCAGCCTCCCAAAGTGCTGGGATTACAGGCGTGAGCCACTGCACCCGGCCGAGTCTCTGTTTTTGATTCTCTGTGTCACAGGGCTTAGAAAATCCCATCAGGTTGAACAAGCAGTTTCCTATCCAGGGCAGCCCTAGTTGGGGATGTGGAGGTGCTCAATGTGTGGAATAAACCACTTAGCAGTGTGGGCAGCTTAGCAGTGTCCTCTGAAGCCAGGAAAGGCCCTAAAGAATACTCAGTCCAGCCTCTGTAGAGGGCAGAGCCCCTCTGCTGCCTCCCCAGCAATGAGACAGGTTTACACAAGACTACTCTTGAGGAGGCACATTCACCCCCGAATCTGAGGGGCCCATCACTGCACAGCGAGGACTGAATTCTCCTCAAGGAAGGCACAGGGCAGTCTGATCCCAGTGTAGGCAGCAGGGAAGATAGGGCTAGAAAACAAGCACCTAATTAGAGTCCTGGGGCTTGGCTGCCTCTCTCACCAACTGGCCTGGCTTCCCAAGAAAACCCTTGGTGAAGCCTCCTGGAATGTTCTTTAGACTCTGATGTTATTTACTGTCTGGTGTGGGGATAAACCAACCCACTAGGTCAGACTGACTTCCTTTCATGGAGCTGCAATTCCCACCTCTTGAATTTTATGAACTGTCACTGGTTTAGTAAAATGGGCTCTGGGGAACAAGTCCCCATTTCCAACAGCCACTTTTACTCTGTAGATTTGGAGCTCTACGAAAGGGAAAGTGTTCATAATATGAACTGCCCCATAAAGAACAGGATTCCACTGGGCAGTGGTTAGCTCCCTGTCCCTGGAGTAAGGTGGAGGCTGGATGTGTCCCCAGTGAGGATGCTGTACAGGAGAGATGGCTGGGCTGACAGTGGGAGGTCAGTTGGACCAGGCCTTCCCTCTTGATCCTGAGGCTCTAGTGTTCCAGGGTTCTCAGGCTCCTCCCAGCCTTCCTTACTGGAGACAGAGTTGGAGCTACACCCTCCATGGCTTCCGACAGGACATTCTTGGCCTCAGGCCATACACTTGGTACTGTTCTCTGATGTCTGCTCTGAGGATGCAGCAATGGTAGACAATGGGCATCTGGCTCGGCAGCGCGGTTGGGGGTTGGGGGTGGACCCCAGGTAGAGGTACCTACACACCCGTGGAGGAGGGGAGGCCCAGGCCCATGGCTGCCTCGCGGACTCTCCAGCACAGAAGAGAATTCATACCAATGCTCTGTCTCCCATCTGGGCCCTCAGTGGCTTGGGTCCTGCGTCGGTGGCCCCCTTGGCTGACATCCTGGTCAGGGCTGTCTGTAGCTGAAAAAGCAAACCTCGTGCTTAATACTCTGCTCAGCGATTGTGCAGCCCAAGCAAAGCACTCTGGTGCCTTGTGTGTGTGGTTACCTATGTTGGTGGTGTGTCCTTTTAGCTCACTTTAGGATCATTAATGGAAGAATTCTCCTTTAGAAACAGCTCTGGAATGGAGAGGGCTTAATTGATTGTCTGACCCGTTCCCTAATCGCACTATAAAAGCAGTCCAAGGGTTTACTAACAGCTTAATAAATAATAATGCTACACCCATAATCTGTCTCCTGAAATTCCAACAACAGCCTAGGAGGCGGGGCATAAAAGAATGATGGATTTCAGGTTACAGATGAACAGATGAGGCCAGAGACACCAAGAAGCCTGTTGGAGGGCAACAGAATTGAATTTAAAATGCAGCACCACCATATACTGCGTGACTTGAGAAAGCCTCTTAACCTTCCAACTTCAGCTCTTCCAGCTACATATGGAGAAGCTAGGGAGGTTCCCTCTTGCCCATGCTGGGAGTCCCCTCCAGAGGGAGAATGACCAAGGACCCTCACTTCCCGCTCCAGCTCCTGGATGCGATTGGTCAGCTGCTTCACCCTGGTTTTTGCACCCTCTGATTCTGCCATCAACAGCCGGTTCTTTTTTGATAGCTCCACAATTTTGGTGGCGACCATGTCTCCGGCTATACCAGCTGTCCCTAAAATGAAAGGAATGGTGAGGTCAATTAAAAACAGAGGCATACACATCAAACTCATGCCCCACCACCAACAGCACCAGGGCCTTAAAAGCTAAAGCTGCTTGGCATGAATGCTCATGAAGGGGCACTAGTTTAGGAGGGTCATCATATACCTAGCAGCCCTGGGACCCAACTCCAATGAGTGGAAATGCAGCCACTCAGAGGTTCAGTATGTTCTAGGAAAATGATAAAAACAGAAAGCAGAGTTTTAATTCCGTGAGAGTTAGGTTTATCACTCCAATGCTTCATGACATCCTCAGTGATAGGATTACATCCATATCCCTGTAATTTTGCTGTGCCCTCTAATGAGCAGGATATAGTCCCCTTAGGCCTTCTATGACTCTGGGCTCAACCATTTGGCTTACTTTGGCCAATGGCATGTTAACAGATAAGGTGCAGATAAGGTAGAGGTTTAAAAACCACTCGTGCAGTTAAACTCGCTGTGTTTGCTTCTGCCCTCTCCACAGGAAGAACATACCTGGCTGGCTGGTCTCAAGAATAGAAGAGAGACATGTTGAACAAAGTGGAACCAACCTAGCCAAGCCTGGCCTAGATCCGCCAATCCCCAACCAACCCCCAGATGTTTAAGCTCAATACATGCTTACTGCTGCTAAGATTATGTGGTTGCTTCTTACACAGAATTTGGTGGTAACACCTACCCAATAGAAAGGCATATATTCATTTAGCAAATAATTATTTTCCACCAAGTGCTGGGTCCTCTTCAGTGGTGGATAACAAAGACTTATGAAGTTTACATTCAAGTAGGGAAGACAGATAATTTAAAACATCAAATAAATAAATATGTATTCTAATATGTAGGAGGAATAAGTGCTAGGAAATAAAATGGAGCTGGGCAAGGGGGTAAGAATGAGGGAGATGATGCTATTTCAGATGGAGTGGCCAGGAAAGGCTCTCTGAGAAGGTGATGTGTGAACAGAGACCTGAGTGAATGAAGTGAGGGCTCAAACCATGAAGAGTGCTCTCACCTAGGAAGAACATTCTAAGCAGAGGAAATGGCAAGTACAGAGGTCTGGAGGTAGAATGTGCTTAGAGTATCTGAGGACCATCAAGGACTCCAGAGTAGCTGGAAGGCAAATTGCAGTGGGCCAGGGAAGGAGGCTGTGGAAGGTGACTGGAGGATGTGAGTGGGGGAAGTTGCATGGTATGGGAGCTGTGTGGAAGGCAGGCAGCGGGAGCTAGTCCAGCATGGTCACTGACTAGGTGGGTAGCCCTGACAGTCCCTTGCCCTCTGGAGTGCAAATCCCCCATCTGTGTAATGGCAGATGTGGTCAGATGGTCTGCAAGTTTCCTGAACACTTCTGACACTGTAGCAGGGAGTAACTGGCAGTCCTATTTTTTAGTCCTACTTTTTAACGTGACCATGATATGCCTCAGAACAAGATGAAGGGTGACAACTGGTGGAAAGCAAATAGGCACTTGATGGCTTTCAAATCACCTCAGCCCAGGCTTGCTCTTGCCAGCCTGGGCAAGGCAGTGAGTGGGGCAACTAGGAGTAGCTGCCCTTGGAATCTCATGTCTGCTGAAGAGGACAAGGACACACCAAGAGAAAAGGCTCAGAACAGACCTGGAGCCCTGGAGTATCTAGAGGGAGACAGGTCCCATTCAGCACCAAGATGGCACACTTTGCTCCCTGGCTCCTTTAATAGGTTGTGTGTCAGGAGGGTGTCGGGGGTGGTGATAACAAAGGATCACTGTGAAAATCATGAACTCTAGCAGTTAAAGAAATGCAATTTCAGCAGAGGTCTGGTTCTGGTTAAGATGGAATAAGCACACTCTACCCTGTCTCTTTCGCTGAATACAATCAAAAGGCCTAGATAGGATGTGTAAAGCAGCTACCTGAGGGTTCTGGAAGTAAATGGTAGCAAGCCTACTGGGGAAGGAAACCAGACCTAGAAGTACAAATGGTCCAGTGGTACGTTTCCTCCCAGGACTCAAATCAGCACAAATTCTGGAACTGGCCATCAGAAAGAGGTCCAAGACAAGGTCTTTCTAGTCCAAAGAGCAGGAAGTGGGGCTCGGACAGAATGGAAAAATCCTCTGGGTATTTTTTTTTTCCTATTCTTTCCCAACCTTGTCTCCAGGCAAGCTCTACTGTTGAAGCTGCAACCCCTTGATAAATGGGGGCGGCAATGGATGGGCAAACACAGAAATGCTAATTATCGGCTAAATAGAATAGTTCTCCCTTTGGGTTCTTTAAAATATGTATAATAGTTGAAAGTAAAAAGTATAACACTGACCGATGAGATTTTCAATATATATAGATATAATACATACAAAAACTGCAATAGAAAGGGAGAGGTAAAGGGACCTGGATGATGGTAAAGTTTCTACGTTCCATTTGAAGTGGTAAAATATTATTTATATGTAGACTATGAAAAGGTAATATGTATTTTGTAATCACTAGATCACTTAAAAACTGTACAAAAAATACAGTAAACAAACAAAACCCAAAAGCAATCACTAAAAATCCAGCCAAAAGAAACCCATCTATCAACTCTCAGTAGCCTGTCACTTGCAGCACAGTTTAAAAACATAAATGGAGGTCCGGCACAGTGGCTCACGCCTGTAATCACAGGACTTTGGGAGGCTGAGGCGGTTGGATCACAAGGTCAGCAGTTTGAGACCAGCCTAGCCAACATGGTGAAATCCTGTCTCTACTAAAAATACAAAAATTAGCTGGGTGTGGTGGCGCACACCTGTAATCCCAGCTACTCAGGAGGCTGAGGCAGGAGAATCACTTGAACTCAGGAGGCAGAGGTTGTGGTGAGCCAAGATCACGCCACTGCACTCCAGTCTGGGCAACAGAGCAAGACTCCATCTCAAAAAAAAAAAAAAAAAATTAAAAACATAAATGGGCTTGTCAGATTTTCTCTCCAAAATGTGAGAATGGAAATCAGAATGATGACTTCAGAGTGAAGACCGGATTTAAATGGTTTTCAGGGACACTTAGGGCTGGCAGTCAGATGAGGCCATGACCAAGTCTGTGTTTTGGCAAAGATTGCAAGAGACAGTTAACAATGAGAGGGGCTGGGGAAGAGGGAGTAACCCCAGATCTGCTTCCCAGGTCGGCTGGGTGGAGCTGTGTCTCCTGCTCCTCCTGGAGCCCATCAGCTTCTCTACAGCCTTGCAAAAGTGCAAGCAGCACCTTCCACAGCTGAATCCATAGCCAGGCTGAGAGTGTAGGCTTCCTTAGCCAGGCTTTGTGTTTTTTGTTTCAGACAGAAAAGGTCAAAGAATGGAGGTAGGTGCATTAGGCTACTATGCGTCCTTAGGATACCAACTTCCCCTTTCTTTGTAATTCAGCATTGACTGATCAGAGCTTTGGTCCTATGAACGTACCTATCCTCAAATGCATTTACTCTCAAAGGCAAGGAGGGGTAGTCTGGTAGATGCTGAGTCAGCCCTGTTGCTCTCTGTGATTGGTGACATCTATAATACTTTCTGATTTATTAGCCATTTAATTGGCTAACCATTGAATTGTTCAATGGGTGTATACATAACAGAGGACAATCAAGTCCAAAGTCCCCACTACATCAGCAGGGCGAAAGTCAAACTCATAACCACAGAGATTATTGGCTCACAACCACAGATCAAAGGTCATTACCAGACCTGCAAAGCCAAAGTCCTCACCAGATTCATGGGGCCACCATGAGGTCTCCACCAACACAGCTAAGGTCTAGCCCAGACTTATAGGGCCAAGGCCCAGCCCAGACGTTGTTGGTGGTTGGGTCCCATGATATCCTCCCAGAACAGGTGACTTCCCTATCTCATCTACCTTTCTGGAGCAGCAACAGCAGGTGCTGTAGAGTTCATACCTGGCTCTACTGGGGCCTTTTTTTTTTTTTTTTAAAGACAGGATCTCACTCTGTTGCCCAGGGTTCAGTGCAGTGGGGGTGATCATAGCTCACTGCAGGCTGCTGGGGCTTTTTTATGTTCACAACATAACATGTGAGCCAGTATACCAAGGAGAAATGGATCCTGCCAGTCCTTGAACATGCTGCGAGCATGATGGCGAACCCTTGCCATGAGTCCCAACTAGATCACCAACACTGCCTATGATGCTTGCCTGCTGGCCCTGCTGGCCGATTTTTAAATTCCTCATTGCTCCCTGTGCTCCCATTTTCTGGTGGGCTGGCCTCCCTGGGGCTGCTCTTTTCCTCTACCCTCTCCCTCACTTCCAGGACTCCTCTGGACAAGCTTGAACAAAACTGACCCTTGGCATTCTCTTGGGCACTTGGCTCCCTAGAACCTGCTGTCTGTCCTGTCTGTAGTCCCTGGACTGCAGGACAAGGACTGTCACAACAATGGTGGAGCTACCTGTGAAGGCAAGTCTGTCCTCTTCTATTTTCTTTTTGAGGTGTTTGATTTCAAAGTCCCTTTCCTTCAGCAGCTTATACAATCGCCCATTCTCATCCACTGTTTCCCTGAGCTCATTTCGAAGGTGTTCAATCTCATCTTCAAGCACCCTACAAGGCAAAGGCAGAATTAATCCTCCTCCAAGGCAAAGGCCCTGGTGGGCAGGGGTCAGTCCTCCACTGCCTAGGTGGACAGACGGACACGCAGATGCAGACACACACGTGAAAGAAGAAAGGTTTCAATGTTGTTCATTAGCTGGCTTCAATAGGGAGTTATAAAAAAAAAAAAAACCCACTCAGAATTCATATTTCTTTTAAGCATCCATGGAACATGAATAAAAATATATTACAGGGCTGGGTGTCATGGCTCACGCCTCTAATCCCAGCACTTTGGGAAGCCAAGGCAGGAGTTTATGACTAGCCTAGGCAACAAAGAAAAACCCTGTCTCTAAAAATAAGAGAAAAAAAAAATTAGCCAGGCATGGTGGTGTACACCTGTAATCCCAGTGACTCCAGAAGCTGAGGTGGGAGGATTGCTTGAACCCAGGAGCTTGAGGCTGCAGTGAGTTATCATCCTGCATTCCAGCCCAGGTGACAGTGCAAGACCCTATCTCTTAAAAAAAGTATTATAGGCTATAAAGGGAATCTTAGCAAATTCTAAATAATAACATTACACAGACTCTTTTCTCTAATGGCAAGTGACTGTTTTAGAAATCAATAATAAAGCCAGGCGCGGTGGCTCAAGCCTGTAATCCCAGCACTTTGGGAGGCCGAGACGGGTGGATCATGAGGTCAGGAGATCGAGACCATCCTGGCTAACACGGTGAAACCCCGTCTCTACTAAAAAATACAAAAAACTAGCCGGGCGAGGTGGCAGGCGCCTGTAGTCCCAGCTACTCGGGAGGCTGAGGCAGGAGAATGGCGTAAACCCGGGAGGTGGAGCTTGCAGTGAGCTGAGATCCGGCCACTGCACTCCAGCCTGGGCAACAGAGCAAGACTCTGTCTCAAAAAAAAAAAAAAAAAAAAAAAACAAAAAATAGAAATAAAACAAGAAAACCCAAAACTCATCATATGTTTGGAACTAGAAAAACACCCTATATTCCTAAATTATTTGTGGGTTAAGAATAAATCATAATATGTATTATAAAGCATTTAGAATGAATTGACCACAGAAGCTGTATGAAAACTTGTTAAATGCAGCTATAATTAAGGCTCTAAGCTTCCTTCTATTACTTTAGCTGCATTTTACAAGTTTTGCTATAGCTCCTGTGGTACACGCACACACACCCCTGAGAGATTTCAAACTTGCATTTACCTCTTCTCAAAGCTGTTTTTCGAGTTTGGCTCCCCTGTGTGGAGAAGGCTGAGGCCATCTGAGACCTCCAAGGGCTCCTCTGGGTCATCAGCTCTGCTTTTGAGGCTCAGTTCTTTTTCCCTCTTTTTCTCCATCTGCTTCTGTAACCGTTTGTGCTGCATCTCCTGCATTGCCTTGAACTGGAGCCGCAAAATGTTCTGTGAGGCTTCATCTGCTGCCATCCTGCCCTAAGCATCAGAAAAGAAGCCTGAGCTGAAGCAAACTCCACACCGAGCACTCAGCACACAGTCCGCCCTGTCTGTGGCCCCAACCCTGAAGTTTACTGCTTCGCATTGCATGTATGTCCATGCAGAAGCTTGGAAGCCCCAACCTCAACTCAGATCACTAGAAAGCCAAGGTTGAGCTGAGCATCCTCCCCAATTCCTGAACATGCCAACAGATTGCACATGGCATCAGAATAGTCTCCATTACTCAGACTCAACACTTGACTCTTGCCTGTCCCTTAAATCAATAGCTCTCAGCTCTGGTTGAACATTAAAATCCCCTAGGAACTCATATATAACAATGCCTAGGACCATTTCCAGACCAACTAAATCCCAGTTTCTAGGAATGGGGCTTGGCCATCATTTCTTCTTTTTCTTTTTAAATTCAGGTATAATTCACATGCAATAAAGTACATAAATCCTGACCATACGGCTCAGTGAATCTTTCCATAGACATATACCTCTGTGGTGACCACCCAGATCAAGGTATAGGGCATTTCCAGTCCCTGAGCAGGCTACTTTGTGCCCCTTCCAGTGAATCATCCCCCAAGACAATCATTATTCTGACTGCTACCATTGAAGATTAATTTTGTTTGGTTTCTTTTTAGTCAGTCTATCAAAGAATAATTTATGTACAATAAAATATACCACGTTGGGTGCAGTGGCTCATGCCTGTAATCACAGCACTTTGGGAGGCCAAGGCTAATGTACTGCTTGAGACCAGGAGTTTGAGACCAGCCTGGGTAACATGGCGAAACCTCATCTCTACAAAAAACTGGCTGTAGTGGTGCATGCCTGTAGTCCCAGCTACTTAGGAGGCTGAGGTGGCAAGATTGCTTGAGCCCAGGAAGTGGAGGCTGCAGTGAACCATCATTGTGCCATTGCATTTCATTCCAAGTAACAGTGAGACCCTGTTCCAAAAAAAAAAAAAAAAAAAAAAC